GATTTTTGAAGACGTATTTGTAACTTGGTGTTCACTGCAGCATTAATCCCATAACCAAGAAGTAGAAGGAACTTAAATGCTTTTCAACAGATGAATGGGCAAAAAGATACACACGATGGAAAATTTAAGTTTTTAAGACAAAAGTAATCCTATTGCATGCTATAACACAGATGAAATGAGAATATTCTGCTAAGTGAATTAAATTTGGGGAGGAGAAAAGGAAAAATGATTATAAGGGGCATGCAACTTTAGTTCTTACAATAGAAAAAAGGTATAGAGATCTGTTGTCCAAAGTGTAGACATTGTTAACAGTAAAGTGCACGCAAAAATATTAAGATGGAAAATTTATGTTATGTACTTTTAACCACAGGGGAAAGAGAGAGAGAGAGACAGAGACAGAGAAAGAGAGAGCCATTGTTTGTTCACAGTATCATGCACCCTCTTTCCAAATAGAGGGCAAGGCCAGTAGAACACAAAACTCAAGGCCTAACCATCTCTGCCACAATCAGCACTGTCAACACAAGCATAACATTCCCATGGAATAGAAATGGCACTACACCAGCGGCAGCTTCAGGCAAGCCTGGCTCCTTGGCCTGAAGAAAGTCAATTGGCCTAGGGCTCTCTCTAGTTAGCTGAATGAACTAAAATTCTTCCGTGTAAAGTGAGGACCAGAGCCTGACTAGCTAATCATAGAATGAGCTGCACTGGAGTACCCTGTAGTGAAAAAAAATAAAGATGATGCTCCTTCCTAAAAACTCAAGGCAGTCCATTACAACAAGAGCAACTAGCCCAAACTACACCTCAGCCCAGGCTCTGGCACTCACCCAACTGTTCCCCTAGGATAACATCTTGGGAATGCCTTAAAATTACTCTAAACTAGGGATATTGGAGGCTGGGTAGAAACTTTCCCAAAAGCACCAGACCTCAGAGGAAGAACTATCATAGAGAAAGGGAAAGGAACATGCCCCAAAGCCAAAACCCAGAACACTTAAAGAATTAATTCTAAAAGCTAGCCTGGATGTGGCTATAAAATGACACTCAAGAAAATTGATACCTAAAATACGAATTCATAACTATGGAAAACACTGACCAATTATGTTAGAAACGCTTGGAGAGATAAGCTAATAACTTCCTGTGAAAAGTGAAAAAGCCATACAACAAACACAGGAAGAAATAAATCAAGGATAGGATGATATTAATAGAAGTCATTCAACATTCAGAAATGAGAAACACCATGCCTGAAATCACAAAACAGCTTAAAATTTGAACACAATGAGTTTGAATATTATATCACAGAAATAGCATGAAAGACTGGAAAGTGTAGTTGATAGATAAAATGGATAAGGGATACAAGTTTTTTTTTTTTTTTTTTTTAGAATTGGAGAATTATAACTTTCTGGATTGTAAATTCATTACAAATTTCTAACAGGTAAAGACAGTTTAAGAACAGGAAATATAAAGTGAAAATATTTTTTCCTGTTTCCATACAGATTACCTAAAAGGAAATATTAAATTGACAACAAATTCCTACATTCAACAACAGATGCCAGAAACCAATGGAATATCATTTCATGGATGCTAGGGGAAATGGCAGTCCAGTGAGCTGCTTCCAAGTAAATGAACTACAGCCAAAGGGAAAAATGGAAGGAAGAGTGCGCATGGATTCATGAGGTAGGAAATTACTTGTTACACAGAGATACTTATACAAGAAGTCATTACATGTAGATGCCCCCACAAAGAACAATGAAATATGTTGTTTGGAGAAACAGTAAATACAGCAAGACTAAATTTGACGTGACGTAGTCAAAAACTGTTCATAGAAATTACTTTCTAAGTCTGGTAAAATGCAATAACTCTCTACAAATTACTTACCTTAAAATACATTAATTCAAATTAGTGAGATGGATTTTAATAGCCAAGAAAATATTCTATCGCTCATGAGATGTATAGAAAACAAATACAGAAAAATATTTATCAATATATGTAATCATGGATATATGTGAACTGAAAACTAGATGCAATCACTCAAGGAAAAGAAATGTAGCCTAAGTTTAGAAGAATAAAGGAAAAATGGGAAAATTTCAGTGATGCAAGAGAGTTTAAAAAGATAAACACCAAAGTACGTTTAAACATGCAAAATGCAATGATTTAAAAAATTTAGATACATCAAAAACCATGTCAGATATATCTATGTCTGTATTTATATAATATATAGTATAGATAGATATGGATATAGATATAGATTATACAGATTCAGATGATATAGATAAAGATATAGATGTAGATAGATATGGATAAATATGAATATGGATATAGATGATATAGATAGATATATAGAATAGATAGAGATACAGATATAGATAGAGATGGAGATATACATTAGTTTGCCTGGATTTGGAGAACAGACTTCAACCCTTAACCCCATCCAAGCTACCCAGCAATCAGCCCACCTTCACTACTCTCCTTTGCTCCTGCTTATGAGTGAATGAAGAGAACGTTCTCCCAGCTTAACTCTAAACAGAAAGCAGAAAATGACAGTATGGACACAATAGCATCACTCCATTCCTCTTGGACTCAGTTTCTCTAGAACTCCTTCAGTTTGTACACCACCCATCCTCCCTCCACGGATCTCTTGATGGTCTTCGCTGATGTGCTCTCCTGCACTGGTCATGGGAAACAGGAAGCTGCTTTTCAAATAACTTCAAGCTTTAGTACATGGCAAACACACCCCCAGGAAAGCTGGGGCTAGCACCTGCCTTTGAATTCACCACAGGACCTCTGTGTCAGTCTCTCGTTGCAGCACACCAGACAGACAGACCGGAGTACAGAGTGCGATGTAGCCCATACACTCTGATGTTGGTCCCTATAGTCCCATTAGAGGCTGTTTAAAACCAGGATTCACCCCATCAGTCTGGGACAGAGATAGGACCTGGAGAGACGATAGAACCAGCTGGCCTATGCCAGCGATGATCTCCTTAGAATAGTAGGACACTTGCTCTTGGTACCCTAGCAGAGAAAGTGCTACGATTCTATGTGTGACAAAAGCAATCTTAGGCAGCAAAGGATGTAACTCAGGAGATGATTACTGGCTTCACAAAGGTTTGGGCTTTATTTTAGAATCGGGACTGTAATCGAAACTGCAAGTTTCTTTAAAACCTCTCCGTCCTGCAGAACTGAGATCCATGCATTTAGCTTCACCTCTAAATAAGAAGTATAGAAAGAATACAACTCTGAAAACTGAATGAACCTGCACCCTGCTTTGCCCTATCCATTCTATACACAATCCACTGGCCAATAAAATCAACTCTAGTTCAATGGCCCAAGCCTTACAAGTTCTATGCCATCACATCTGAGCCTTTACAGGTTTATTCAATCTTTGATACCATCCCCAGGTCATCTCCATATTTTTGTTTTTTTTGTCCAGTCAGTGTTTGTGTTACGGCTGTTTAGCTAACTAGAATTATTCAACATAGTACTATTCCTTATTCTTATTTTGATTTTTCTATTTTGAATGAATTTGTAAGGGATTGGGGCCATAGCGTAGTGGTAGAACACTTGACTAGCATGTGTGAGGCATAGATTCAATCTCTGCTGCTGGGAAAAAAAAAACTTAAAGAAAAATTTAAAGGGACTTCCTGATGATATTACATGAAAGCTATTAGTATATCTAACATGATGAATGAAAAATGAATGCTTGTTATTTAAGCTGAAAATGTTTCTATCTTTAAATATTATTTTGATCATCAACTTGAAAATGTGTGCACATGTATGCCATATATAAGTGGACATACAGATCTGAATATACTCAGAAGTAGACCGTAAACTTTGACCTTTCAAGTTATTTTGTGTTTTAACTAACACAGTAATTATACATATTTATGAGAGACCATAGCAATAATGGCAAACAATATGTAACAATCCCATCAGAGTAACTGGCCTATCTGCTACCACAATATTTATTATAGGTTGTAGGGAACATTCATATGATAGCAGCTTTAATATAATATGATGACAGTTATATTACTAATAAGCAAGTATAATGTATGAGATTCTCACTTAACAGTTATGTGAAGTCTACTATGGCAATTCAGTGTTTAACCTACAGCTGGGAAACACAAGTGAACTTCCTAGATAGTCTGTGCAATGACCAGAATGGGTAGAACTCCTTAACTGTGGTTTTCAAAAGGATGATTTTTATGAATCACAAACAGGCCCTTCCCATATGAAAAACATAAATTATTCAGAAAACCTACATCTTTTCAGTGCATGAATTAATATTTTTGAGACAGAACAACCAGGATAATTCTAACTTTAAAATGTTTCTTATATGCTTAAAAATGTGTCTGTTTTCACAATACAGCACTTTTACTACACACTTAGTTATTTGTAGATTTGAAGAGATATTATACAAAGGAGGCACCAACACCAACCCTTTAAAGGTCCAGAAATTAAGATAAAGTGGAAAAGTTATTTGTACACACACACACACACAAAATGCTGACATGTGCATAATACACTAAAGTCATTGTTCCTAATCCAGAATTCATTATACAAATCCATTGTCTTTAAATTAGATAATGTCTGTAAATTAGAGAATATGACACACTGGATACTCCATGGACTTATGAAGCACAAACAAAAGCAAAGTCTATGAAAATTCTTTCTCTATAAGATAAAGAAGACGCTCTATAAGCCATCTGTCATTGAAGAGGAGTTAACAAGGGAAAGAGAGAGTGTCTTACTCCTTGAATTGAACAGACAGGTAAATTCCAGACCTCATTCTCTGAAAGTCAAAACTAGATGTAAAAATTCATAACAATGCAAGTAACTGGTTCATCTTCACTCACTGGCACATGATTTTTAACACCCAAATGGAAAAATCCTTGCAATAATCCTGAAAACCAGTTTTAAAATATAGGGTGATATCAGTTCCTTAAAACAATGATTGCTTCACACACACACACACACACACACACACACACACACACAGAGTTACTTACTGAGCTGTAAAGATAGCCTTCCCCATTCATGGCCACATAGAGGCTGGCCTTCACGCCTTGGATGGCCACCACACGCAGTCCCACAGGAATTAGATTGAAGAGGGCTAGAAGAAGAAGAAAGACAGGTCAAGATGACCTTGCAAATAAATCGTCTTGCTCTTTACAATGTCCTTACAATTTTCAGTGTTAAAATCTATTTATTGGAAAAAGTGATGGAAAGGGAGAGGGAGAGGAAGGGAGAGAGGGGGAAACAGAGAGAGAGGGAGGGATGGAGGGGGAATTAAAACAAGGGGAACTAAACTACCTTGGTTTGTCTCTACAACACCATCAATGACTCACAGAAGTTCCAGTGAGATGCGTGACCCAACTGGTACAAAAATGTTAAAATAGAAGGACTTTAAGAGTCTTTAATAGGTTGGAGTGTCTAGAATCCCTGCTCCCCGAAATAAACATAGCAAGTATTACAGGATATTTTTCTAACACACAACTTGAAGCAATAATCTCTCAATAATAAAAGCAACCATTGGTCCTAAGTAACAGTAAAATACAGTCGTTAGAACATGATAGAAGACTGTTTCTGTCTTCCTGCTGTGACCCTGAAAAGGTCTTGAGCACAGACAGTGACTACGATCATGGACTAACATGGAGCAACAGTAGGGAGACCTTGTCTAGATATTTTGAACCTTTGCATGGAAATGAAGACATAATAATAAATGATGTGGTGGTGTGAATGAGAGTGGCCCCAAATGCCCATATATGTGTATGCTTGGTCCCTAGCAGGTGGACTGACTGTGGGAGGAAGGATTAGGAGGTGTGGCTTTATTGGAAGAAGAGTGGTGTGTCACTGGGGATGGAATTTGAGGTCCCAAAAGCCCATGCCAGGTCCAGTCTCACTCACTCTGCCTCCTACTGGTGGATCAGATGTGAGCTCTCAGCTACTGCTCCAACGCCATGTCCACATGCTAGCTGCTCTGCTCCCTGCCATGGTGGTCATGGACTCACCTTCTGAAATTGTGAACTAGGTCCCTATTAAATGCTTTCTTTTATAAGTTGCCTTAGCTATGGTGTCTCTCCCCGGCAATAGAACAGTGACTAAGACAAGTGGACAGGCAATTTATAGATAGTTTGAGCAACAACAGATAGATGCCATAGCTAAAGAAAAATATACTATATAAAACATCAAAGTTGGCAAGTTGGTTGAAACAACCTAAAATCAAACAGGAATAATGTTGTCTTCATGTGTTCAAGTTGCCTGTAACCCAAAATACTAAGCTAATGTATCCATTCAGAGGACAGCGAATGCATGGACCAGAAAAGACAAAGACTACATCCTATGTGTCTTCTAGCAAATTCTTGTTATGAAGTATTCATCATGGCCCTGGGTCCAGCCGCTTTTGAGGTTACAGAATGACCATCAGCAGAAAATATGACCCTAGAAATATTTGCTTCACATATAAGAGGAAAGCCCACCACCCACCTAGTTACACTCTATAAATAGCATTTCAGGGAGACATTAAATATCTCCTGACTACATTTGTAACAAGAATTCCTTATAGTTCTCTTTAATAAACGGACTAGCAGAGCTCATCTACCCTCTCTACAGATAAAATTCCTTCAGTTTTGACACTGTCAAAGTTTAACAGAGTACGTCCATCAGTTAACCCAATTGCTTCCACCTGGGTTTTTTCAATGAGACAGTAAGCTATCTACACACACATCACAGACACAAGCATGTACAGTGTTGGGATTTTAGTCAAGTGTTCGGTTGAGGCTTGCAGAGGATCAAGTCTTAGACTACAGGTTTCCTGGAACAGGACTGGATTCCTAGTTGCTGACACTGGCTAAGTCACTCCCTCCTTGAACCTGTTTTCTCATTTGTCCTGGAAATGTAGACTATGTTATAACTGTTGCTTAAGGATTAATTGTTGATTCAGTTTAGAGCTGAGCTAATTTTAGTTCTTCCTATAGGCTCAACATTGATCTTGCACATTTTAAATTGCTTAAGAAATCTAAGTCAGTCTGCCTAAGAAGACAAAGTTAAGATACACGGAGTAACCTAATACAGTGTACTATTTATTTCTATAATCAAATGACTACATGCTTCTCTGTATATAGTTTGTATGTTATGGAAGTTCCGGGGAAAACATGGAAGGTCTTTGTGGCCTGAGATATTTAGGAAATGTTTTAAACGCAGAACACAAGACTGAAGCTGGCCCTTAGGAAAAGAGAAGAAAGTTGGGGTTCATTCTTGGGAGACATAAGAAAGCACAACATGTTAAATAAACAAGCATCTTTCTAATCATAGAGATTTGGGTTTTACCAAATGGACAAGAGAAGTATGACACATGAGGACTTCAGCAGCAACACAGATGAAAAGATGAGAGTTTTGAAGGTGGAGGTTTCTAGAAAAGCCACTCAGAGTCACATGGCTTTGAGCTCCTTACACCCTTCATGTGTTGTTTTCCTACCTGTAAAGGCAGGATCACAATACAGTGTGCAAGTCCACACACACACACACACACACACACACACACACACACACACACACACACAATGTACTATGCTCTTAAGAGTGTCTCACAAATAGAGTTATTTAACATTAACAGTAAATAGTGCCTTTTGTGTATGTGGATGATTGATGTGCATGGGGGGGTGCACACATGCCACAGTACACATGTGGAGGCCGGAGGGCACCCCTGGTTGTCTGTGCGCATCTTCCACCTTATTTTGAAGCAGCGTCTCTGGCTTGTTTCCAGCTGCTTTCACCAGGTTATCTGGTCTGCAAGCTTATAAGTTTTATTTCCACCTCCCATCTCAACACAGGAACTCTGGGATTAGCTACACATTCTCACACCCAGCTTTATATGGGTTCCAAGGATTCGAATTCAGGTTCTCACATTTGTACTCCAATCCCTTTACTCACTGAGCCATCTCCCTAGGCCAATATTTAATAATTCTCATAAATTATGATCTGACATAGGTTAAAAAAATCAGCATAGTTCCTTAGTAATTCTCTTAGTTTATACTCAGCACCTTGCTTAGCGCTTCAAAAGATGACCTTCCATATCTGTGCATTTTCAAGACGCCTATAAACTCACTAATTATATTTGATCCTAAATCATAAATGGCATGAGGAATTTCTGGCAGAATGAGGGTTGCATCAATTTTTGTTTGTTTGGTTGGTTGGTTGGTTTTTGGAGACAGGGTTTCTTGGTGTAGTTTTAGTGCCTGTCCTAGATCTCACTCTGTAGACCAGGCTGGCCTCGAACTCACAAAGATCCTCCTGGGCTCTGCCTCCCAAGTGCTGGGATTAAAGGCGTGAGCCACCACTGCCCGGCATGTTGCATCAGTTTTTAAGACAAACTAATTCAGAGAGGTAACTGAGGTGACAGTGATGCTAAACAGAAGATTTCTAGGTCACTGGTGTAGATACCTGTCTAAAAGCTGTGTTTCTTCTTTGTACCATTTGAACTTTAATTTCCAAGGCTCTTGTCTTATCATCTGACAAACCAAGATGTGTCTTAGATGATTTTCCTACATGTGCTATGGCTAGAGTTAGCTCTTACAGACTCACTATTTGACACAGGTAGACAGATCTGGATATGTTTAAAGAACCCTTCCCAAGAAACGACATGGTTTCCTTCACTATCTCTTCTCAACATTTTGTCTTGTGTTGTTTCAGTGGGGAGGACCGGAGCACCTGGATCACCTCAGACTTAAAAACAAAGGCTACTCCCAAGTGAGTGATAGCTGAGGAGTGGAAGAAGCAGAGTCCCAGAGAGTTCTGAGAGTGTGGCAGCCGTCCAGCACTCAATTACTAAACCTTGCTTCTAGGAGAGAAAAGGCCCTTATTGCTTAAGTCTATGTAATTCGAAACCTTCCCTAATCCTGATGGAGACTGCTAATGAAAGCAGAATTAGTGTGCAAAGCACAGACTAAATGCAAGGTACTTATGTGTTGTAAATAAAAGCATCTGCAGGGAAATAACAAATTAAATGATGGTCCTTGTGAGAATGAATGGGGAGAAAAACTGAGAAAAATGATCCCCTAAGGAAGAGAGCTGAATTGGAGGGGGAAAGCCATTCAAAGGCTTCCCCTCCAAGAGGGGCTTAAGGAAATCACAAATACCGCTGAGTTGCTAGCACAAACTGAGAGAGTCCTCTATCAACCAAAAAGTGATAACGGCTCTCAGGTGGAATGCTTCTGCAGACTTAGCCCTTACTGCAAAGACTCAGTAAACAACTTTAAATAAGACTTTCCAGTGCTAAGAACTAAAAAATCTATTCATCTGGGCTCAGAGACAGAGCTCAGCACTTCAGCACTGCTTTTGTGAAAGGTCTCCATCTTGCCCCGTAAAATCTCAAAAAGTGGCAAGAGCCTTACTTCTGCCTCATCTAGAGTATATGCAGGTTCACAGAAGCCTTTCACTCTAGCTGAGGATTACTACTGAATGTGATCATCATCCTTAATACCTTTAGTAACAAGGGTATTGGACTCCACATCATTCTTCATAGCATCTGCTCTTGGCATTTTCTTGCTAAAAACCTCTACTGTTTCCTCTGTCCCCATCTCTTACAACCTGACACCATCCTAAATTTATACCTTATCACCTGTCACCCACTCCTTCCACTATAATTAGAAAAATACAGCTTTTTGCCATTTCCTAACTTCCTCTTGGCTTTTTAGCTAGAATTGATTTTGACTTCCTTTTATCTTCTGTCTCTTCCTGAAAAGACTGTCTTTCCACTTGTAAATGTAGATAATCCTTTTCATTTGGTTTTTAGAGGTGTGTTTGTGTCTACGTGAATGCACACCATGTGTGTGAAAGTGCATACAGAATCCCTAAAGAGGGTGTCAGATCACCTAGAACTAGAGTTACAAGTGGCAATGAGTTGCCCAGACATGGGTACTAGGAACTGAGCTCAGGTCATCTAGAGGAGGAGAAAGCACTCTTAACCACCGATTCAGCTCTCCAGCCCCATCTTTTCATTCTTCAAACCTTAATTTTTTTTTAACTCCACCTGAGTCCTGCAGAAGCTCGTCAGAGATAGTGAGTCCCTTTCCTCCATGATGCATGTTGGAAATGAGCCTTAGAAAAATTTGT